CCCTTATACCCTGGGAAAGAAAGAAAGAGAGAGATAGAGAGAGAAGGGGGGCCTCTAAAGTCCAGGGGGTTTAACAGACCCCTTATGCCCGGAGGAAGAAGAGAGAGAGAGACTCTCGTAGCCATTTTGGCTCAAGCCGCGAGTGGTCCAAGGTCGTTCGGGTGCCTCTCCGCCCCAACTCTTTTCTTTCCTTGCTCTCCCCTTGCTCTTGGCACCCGTCGATCTCAACCCGGGCGCTTTCCCCTTTGCTCCGCTGACCTCCCTTTAGAGCGATTGCTGCCGAGGGACATTGGCTTGACTGCGTGCTACTTGCTCATCGCCCCGGCAAGCGAGCTGGTTGTGCAACGCACCACCTCGTGATCCACTACGATCTCTTCCTTAGGGATTTCCTGTACCGCGGCGAGATCGTGATCCGTGACTACGGGGACAGTCCCCGCCAGACAGAACATGGCAGAGTCATCTTCTCCGATGCAGGTGCAGGCAAAAGAGTCGCCCCACCGCAAGAGGGGGCCACAAGATGAACCCCTGAGCCTTGACGCTATTCGTGAAGTGGTCCGGGGGGAGATCCAGGGAGCGGTCGCGGGCATGACTGACAGAGTTGCTGCGCTTGAACGAAATCTCCAACAGCACAATGACAGGACATTTCAAGCCGTGGAGACCCTGTCTGCCGGGCAAGCCGATCAAGGTTTGCGCATTGCGGAACTCAGTGCCGAGTCCCAGCTTGTTGCAGGCCGCCTGACGCAATTGGAAGGCAAGGTCAAGCAAATCCAGTCTGCGGGGAGCACCCCGTCAACCACTGATGGAGGCAGAGTGCCAGCATTGATCATGGGGGGATGGCCCCCTGACACTCCAGCCAGCGAAGTCCTACAAAAAGCCAACGAGATGGCGAGGGACCTGCAGCTCCAGCTTAACATGACGGACGCCTTCGTCCCAGGAGTTCGCAGGGGTTTCGTCCTCATCCCCTTGTCACCCCAAGATGGCGAATCTGAAGAAGCCATGCGACAACGTACCCAAGCATGCATTCGGAGAGTGAATAGTGCCAACGTTTCGCTAGGCCGCAAAGCTGATGGCAACCCGGCAAAGCTTTGGCTTGCCGTTTCCCAGCCACCTGAACGCCGTCGACGCGCTGCCCTGGCAGGAAAGGTCAAGCGTCTGATCATCGAAGCAGGGGGGCCAAGCACCCTCGCCCGCATCGAGCCAGAGTGGGCGACGGGAACAGTCTGGTTCAGGAACAGCAAAATCAGCTCAGCTACCAGTGCGGGACCTCGGGGGTCGACCCCAGCAGGATGCGGTTGGATCGATGTGCCTAGGATTGCCGAACTCCTGGGTGTAGACACAGAGAGGCTGGAACGAGTGTGGGAGCCGCTGTTGGCGGCACTGCGGTGACTGGATGTCGAAATTCAAGCGGCGGGGATTGTCCCCGAAGAGTATCACCATCTTGCCGAGCCGGCGACGATGACTGATGTCGAAGCTGGCCCGTCTCCTCTTCCTGCACAGCCTCAACACGATGCGGTGCAGCTGCATATTGCAACCTGGAATTTAGGGGGGATGAGCCCCGAGAAAACCCTTGACTTGCTATCTGGCTTCCAGGGGACGCCAGACCTCTCCCGACTGCAAGTTGTCTTTCTCCAAGAGATGACGACCTCAGGCGGACCGCATTTTGCGTACAACGAGACCTGGATGTTACTGCATGGCAAATGTGATGTCGAGTGGAGAGGCTGCGGGGTTGCATTTCTAAAGGTTCTAGGGCATCATGAATCTACGTGCATCCGTAAAGCTGCTTTGTGTACTGTCCTCAAGACTCCTGACAACAAAGCGCTCGGCCTGCTAGCTGGGCACATCTCGCACCGCTTTAGCATTGCGCAGACGGCAGAAGCTCTCTCCGACTGGGGGAGCTCCCCTACCATGTCTTGTATGCGCACCTTGTTAGGATTTGATGCCAATGAGACCTTGATTCAGCCTGGAGGCGCGCTAGGCCTGACCACATTGTCATGCACAGGGCGAGGAGAGCAACTCCTCCAATGGGCCCTCGAGAATGGAGTGTCATTTCCACAACAAAGCATGGAATGTCCGTCCTACTACCCATACAACACAGAGATGCAGCCCCGTAGGATCGATTACCTTGCAGCTAAAGGTGTACACGTGTCCCAGATTGTGGTGGGCTCCTTTCGTGACAGAGCCCGATCCGATCACGAACCTATATTGGGGATTGCCCGACTCCCAATGCAACCCGCCAGTAGACAGGGAGTAGTATGGTGTGCCAGGGCACTCAGACATGACTGTCAGCACATTTTGGGGGAAACCCACCCCGGGCCCGGAGATCTGCATCATTTGATTGCTGAAGTTGCTAAAAGTATTACGATTCCTGCAAACCGCTCGTCCAAATTTCGCGAGAGTCCCACACTCAAAGCATTGCGCAGGGAAGCCCGGGGGCTTCCCCCAGGAGCAGAATCCAGGACGGCGTGGAAAACCGTGTGCAAGAAACTCCAGCAAGAGCGCAAAGCCTGGAAACAGGCACTCATTCTACGCGCAGGGTCTTCTGACTGGAATGCATTGCGCTCGCTTAAAGACAAGCAGGCCAACACAAACTGGGCAGCTAAGCTCCTCGATGACCCGGCCTGGTCTGGAAAGCTAAGCGCCCATATGTCATCCATCTTCTGCAAAGCACCACTGGCGCAGACAAGGGGAGCCATGCAACCCCTACTAGATGAAGTCACAAGGCAGTGCAAGGTGACCCCCTGGAAGCCCTTCTCCGAATCAGAGATGCGCATCACAATGGCCAAATGGCAAAACCATAAGGCCACTGGGCCAGATGGAATCGCCCTTGAAGCATTGAAGCTGATGTTTGATGATGATGTGTGGCGGCCTTGGATTGCAGAGCTCTTGAATGATAGCCTCTATAGGGGTGCCCTTCCCCCTAGTGCAACGACCGGAGCCTCAGTCCTTTTACCGAAGTGCCTGCTGCCTGCAGATTGGTCTGATACCAGACCCATCACGCTCTCAAGCGCAGTACTCAAGTGGATCTCGCAGCTTCTCCTGCACAGGGGAGTTCCCCTCCTGCAGCCATGCTGCCAGCACCAATGGGCAAGCAAAGGCAAACAAGGAGTAGAACTCCTGCTCTCCCTTCGAAAACTTGCACGAGTAGCGCATGAATGGAGGACGCCGTTCTACATAGTAAAGATTGATATTGCGAAGGCGTTCGACTCAATAGCGCAAGAGGCACTTGGAGAGCTTGTTGTAAGGAGAATCGCCAGGGAAGGGGGCCTCCCCTGGGAAGCTAGGCTGTGGCTTAGCCTGCTTGAAGCTAGAGAGTTGACCTTCCATGTTGACAAACGTCAAGTTTGCATTCAACAGTCGAACGGGGTGAGGCAAGGTAGCCCCGACAGTCCCGTGCTTTTCGCCGCCAAGATAGGAGAAGCTCTTGACGCCACCCTAGCTGCGGTCAATGGGGGAGCACCCCCACACGTTGGCCGACACAAAGCGCTAGAGCCCCCGCCGCATTCCGGAGCCGCTTTTATGGATGACACCTATGTCTGGGGAGAATCCCCAGAATACGTGCAACAAGTCCTAGCCGAGCTGGAGGTCAGGCTCCGTGCCATTGGACTGCTCATCAATGCAAAGAAAACGCAGGTCATCTCCAACATCGATGAGGACCCCTTCCGGTTCACAATCGGCGGCAAAACCGTCAAGCCTGACGGACCCAAAACCGTCATGACCATCCTAGGTGCCCCGGTCACCTTGGCTGGGGATGTTGCCCCCATTGTAGCCGAGATGCAGGGAAGAGCAAGACGAGCTTTCCACAAACATAAAAAGGTGCTTTGCTCGCGGGCCCCACTCAAAGACCGCCTCAACCTGCATCAAACACTGGTGCGAGGAGCGGCACTCTGGGGATGCCCAGCCTGGCCTGTGAATGCCTCGCTGCTACAAGCAGCAAATAGTACCCAGTTATTGCAACTCCGCTGCATGATCACGGGGAAACGTCCCCCGAGTGAAGCTTGGCAAGATTGGAACAAGCGCACCATGCGCAGGGCGAGAGCCCTCCTCCATCAACATAAGTTTTTGAGATGGTCGACCCATGCACTCCAGCTTCAGTGGAACTTATGGGGTCACATAGGCCGGGCATCTTTCGCCCCAACTTTTCACATCATGAGATGGCGTGATTTGTGCTGGTGGCGAGACCAGCAAGCCCTCCCACCGGGGCCCTTCCCCAGAGGTGTCCGTCACATTGGACATCACAACCCAGACCGTGACCCAGAACGTCAAATCGGATCAGTGGCTGGACCACAATGGTGGATTGCAGCCTCAGACCGCTCACTGTGGAGCCATCTCCAAAATGACTTCGTCGCAAAGTTTGATCCGCCCTGGGCGAGTGGGAACCAACTCGCACTTCCGGGGGCGCCCAATCTTGCCCCCAACACACGAACAACGCGAACGCGCACCCGAGTCCGACCAGAGATGCGTGAACCTTCCACAGGTGTGCTCATTGTGTGGCGAGGGGCCCTTTGATGAATGACTTGCCCCAAGGAAGTATCATAAGGGCCCCCTCCCCGTGCCAGGCCCACCTTTGACATCCTCGCAGTTCCCCCTTTTGTAGGAATTTGCATTTGCCCTAAACTTGTTGCACAATCCCTGCACCCCATACTGATCCCGCTTGGCCTCTTGCCCATGCCGTTATCAGTACCTCACCTGCCCCAGCATCTTTGTCTGCTCCCGGGGATAACCCCGAATATGAAGGACCCGTGTGAGAGCCTCCCGTGCCATGGCTCGGTGGGCCTGCATGCCGCTTGCCTTGCAGCAGCCGACCAATTGCACCAGCGCTCTGACTGCTACAGCCTCAAGCTTGGCCTTTACGTGAGAGTGAGTTGTGGCCTACATGAATGCACTCGCCAGCTAGCCATGACGACCATGCTCTGCACAGCCTTGCTGCGCCACCACTTCCCAGAGAATTCCTTCCTTACTCTGGCGCTGCTTCATGACCCACGTTTTCTACCCCACAGAGACCTCCAGAACGAATGGCTACCCAACTTAGTCATTGAGCTGAGACAGAGCCCTGGAGGTGGAACCTGGATAGAGAATGACTCGGGACACTGCGCAATAGAGCTTCCTGAGGGAGATCTCAGATGGGGAGTGAAAATGACTGGCATCTACAAGTTTAGCGCGCGCTCCCTCCTCCACTGCAGCATGCCGGGGACTACCCCGAGAACAGCACTTGTTGCATGGACGCCAGCGGGGTGGAAATCAACCCCGGCACCACTACTACAAGAACTACGGGAACTTGGTTTCGTGGTGCCCACGGAGGACCAGTGTGCCCGTGCCCGACTGAGTACCTGGTCAGCTAAAGCAACAGTACAGCGGCCGCTTGGCTTCAAAGCAGCCCCAAGCCTGCAAGACTGTAAAGAGCAATCAAAGGCCAACATATGGCCCGCTGGAACCCTGAAGGGTCCTTTGCAACATCAACACATTCCTTTGCTCCTCCAAGCAGACTCGGATGATGATGAAGCTGACTCTGCTTTTGCGTAGCAGCGCTGGGTGTGCAGGGGATGTTAGACCCCCCTTGTATAGGAGAGTGCCACCAGTCGCCCCGCTTCGATTTTGCGAACTGCAATTTTGGCGACGCCCGTGTGTAAAACGCGGAGTACAGCGCATCCAGATGAACGCCCAGGAACAAACCACCCGCCGCTGCCTCAGGTCTCGGCCCCGCCCTGGTTTAGGCTTTCCCTGATAGCAGCATGTCCTTACAATGGTTGATTGTTGGCCAGGGTTGATGTCCGTGTAGGCTGAGAATGCGCCAGGCCATTGAACCCCCAAGCAAGCCCCACCGCCCCAACCCGCGAGCGGCTTGAGAGCAAAGTGCAGTGCAAAGGAAGCAAATGATGCGCTTTGTGAGCCCACAATGTTGCAGGTCATCGGTTGCAGGTCACGGGCCGCCTTCGTTGCAAGCTCCGCAGCCTAGCGAGTGCAGCCGACAGCCCGTCCTCGCCGTGCTCACAGCGCCTGTGCCTAGTGCAGATTGCCGACTTTGGTTTAGGGGTTTTGCCTCTTAGGACCTCTTCCCCTGCCCGCACTTGCCCAGTACGCAAACGACCCTGGGGCCCTTGCGTCATGCATGCACCGGACACCGCGCCCCAATAGTGCCTCTTAAATCAAACCTAGGACGCACGAGCCTCATTCCTGTCGTTAGTCACTCGACACTTAGTGGGACCAGTGCCGACTTCCAGCAATGGCAGGATCGCTGCGTGTTGAGCCCCCCACCCAAAACGGGGGAAGGCGCCCGGGTCGTGCAGTGGTGCTTACCATCGCAATCATGGGCACCTACCTCATCTACGTGGGGAACTCGATGCCTCCCGCGACTACGCCGACCAGCGGTTCCGATGATGACTCTGACATGCCGCTAGCGCCGCCGGAGACCGGGGAGGAGATCCATGGAGAAGGTCCCGAACCTCGACTTGAAGACCCGGATGAAGTGGCTGACTTCCCAGCGCATCACGTGGAAGGGGGACCTCCCCTACAGGAACCACCGGATCCGAGCGACAGACCAACACGTCACCGACCGGGACCCGCTGGTACCACTCCATTGACAGCAGCTATGCCTTCCACTCCAAGCTCATTGACCTCTCCGCCTACGGCAGCGACACCGACTCATGCTCAAGGCCCTGGACAGCCACGATTACAAGATCCGGCCCAAGACCTACTACCAGGTGGCACTTACTACATGGAATGGTCAGCATGGGATGACGAAGAGGTGCAACTGCCTCTACATCAACCAACAGAACCAACGGCCACCAGAGGCTCGAGCTCGAGCATGCCGTATAAACCTCGAGGACCCCACATGCCACTACCAGACTGGGGTTTGCAACCAGGTATGACCCGGACACGGACCCATGGCATGACGAAGGAGTCCTCGATCATACCGAAATCAACGGCAACACCGTGGGGACGACATCGTCAAGGCCCCAATACCAACACCAACAACCTCCACAACCTCCTCTACAACAAGGGCATCCACCACCTGTTCCACCACAACAGCCACCCTTGCCACCCTCCTTACAACAACAGCGCCAATCACAACTACCTGCCGGACATCGCGATGTCTACCCCCCAGTGAAGCAACCACCGCCAAGACCACCACAAGACGGGCAACAACCCGGAGGATCACAAAATCCTCCTTGGGATTCGTGGGCATCACTGGCGAGAACCTTGGCCAATGATGGACCGCTCTTGCCGCCTTCGCAATGGTCCCATAATGTCATTGGACAGCAGCCAGCCCCTACAGAAGAAGCTCCACATTCTACCCAGGAAGCCACGGAGGGGACGAACCCCTTGCCCGACGAGACCGATGACACCCCGGTCAACCAACCGCCACATGAAGCACCTCAACAAGTACCACACGAACATCAACCAGATCTACCTGCGAGCGACCCACGCTGTGCTCAACCACTACGACCTCACCAACCTCAACAAGAGCACAACGAGCAGCCTCCAATAGGGATGAGCCAGCTATCCGACGAGCTGGAGAACTCTGCATGTGGGGACACAACAGACCCCAAGCCCGACCAAACTGCGACGACATGTGACGACCCAGCATCGGGGAACCAAGACCCCCGCGCGGAGCCGGCTTCGACAGATACAATGCAATCCGACCAAGACGAGGATGATGAATGGATCGAGATCTACGACGATGCGGAAGAAGCACCTCCTGCTGAAGAAGATGAGGATGGGTGGATAAGTGATGTCAGCGATACCGAAGAGGAGGATGAAGAAGACACGCTCCCCGCTGTAAGTCAACCTCAACTACCACAAACACAAGGGGCAGGGGGAAACCCCAGAGTGACGAAACGGCAGGCAGGGCATGGCAGCCAGAGGGTGAAGAACAAGGCGAGAAAATCCGATGTCAAAAAGCTGTGGCAGGAAGCAGGGTGGGATCCGAAACCCGCATGGCTGACATGGAAAGCCGCGCTTCAGTGGCTGCAAAAAGGGGAGCAACCCCCTCGCAAACAACCCGTCTCCACCCCGGCCGAGCGCGCCAAGTTCGCTGCCCTCCTAGCTGCGCACCAATATGTCCGTGATGATAAGGGGAACATCATCCCCCTGACGAGCTCTACGGCATCAAGCTCTTCTACCATGCCCTCATCCAGTATGACCCAGATGCGGACACCTCCAGCGCAACAACAACCTCACCAGAACACAGGGGATGCCCCTACTGGAGACAAAGCTGCCACCCAAGCCCGACATGATCACCAACAACGAATGGCTACCAACCCATATCGTCCTCAACCACATTCCGTACCTCAACCACGGCAACCATACAGAGGAGGACAACCACACCAGCAACAACATCCTCCACAACAACACGCTTCGTCGACTACAGGTGAGAGAAGAGTCTCCTTCTCGTTACCGGACGGGCACCGCGAAGACCCTCCGAAACCAGTGCGAACTGAGCATGTCCTCAGGCAACTATCGAACAGCTCCTCAACCCAGTTACAGCTCGATGGTACCTCGAACAATCCTCTGCAAGTGGTCGACAACAGACCCGACTATATTCGCAATCAAGGGGGATACCCCACTACCCAGATGGGAACAACGAGCTCACAGACAGACCATGCCGGAGATGTTCTCTTTACTCAGCCGCCGCACCTGACGGCCACAGCCCCGACCTCCCCCTCTTCGGCCAGTGGTCAGCCAACGCAACCAGACATCTCCGACCTCGAGGACCAGGCTAACGTCGCAGTCCAACAGGGGAGAGCCCCTAGATGGGAAATCGAAGACGACATCAACAGCATGCGGTCGTCCATACGGATAGGCGAAGTCAGCTTTGACATCTCGTGGCTTCAAGGAGCCGGTCCACCTACGCTGCCGCCAACTATCCCAATTGCGCCAAATGTGGTCTTCAGCGCGAGGGGCACGGTTGCGGGCTCCTGGCGAGGGGTATTGTGGACCCCCCAACAGCACGAGATTATCCGTCATCCTCCACGAGTCCGGCAGGAACCCTCAATGGTGGCTTACAAAACGCAGAGTACGGCATGGAGGATGGGGCCCACGTTATCTCCGGGGGTAACCCTGACCATGTACCCAGTGGGAGAATGGATCGCTGTAACTCGATTTGAATTGAGCTACGCGAGAACACCACGCTTTTGGCTCGTCGTGGTCGATGCAGTGCCGGACCTGACGCAGGCGGGTGAACTGCCTTTGCAGAGTGGCGAACAATTTTTCCTCGAATGGCAGGGCACCAAACGAGAGTGGGTGAGAAGGCCCAGGTTCCAAGGAGATATACAACGGCTGGGGGGTTACTCAGTCATACCCCCACTACTACCACCAGAGCCACCAATACCTCCAGAGCGCACAGGTTTCCCTTCTACACAGATGAGGGGGAATACCCCGGCATCATCGTCATCTTCGTCATCGTCGGCAGCCCAAAGGGGACGTTCCCCCACGCCTACAGCGAGCTCACAGACGACAGCCCAGAACAACATCACGATGCACAGCTTTGGGGCACACCCAAAATCCAGACCACCACTGCCGCCGCAGACCACCTCTGGCTCGGAATCGGAAACCAGTTGGCCGAGCGAGGATCCAGAACCTGAAAGGACCAGGGAAGTGGACGCCAGCACTACGACGTCAACCGCGACTACGACATCGACCACTACAAAGACCAATACCAACGAGGACCACACTTCCTTCATGCAAAGGATGCCCCCGCCGAGACAGCCGACGTCAACACCGACGACCTCTACCAACGAACGCGGGGAAATACATCCTCCCCGAGGATCAGAGTCCTGGATCCCGGAATCGGCCCCACAGACGTCAACCGAACTACTGCAAGCACTTACCAAAGTGATCCATGAGCTACTGCAAGCGTCTTTTTCACAGCCCAACGAGCAAGTTACTATCCTGGCTTACAGAGCATGCAGTTACTTGACTCAAATGCAAACCCTGGGCCCCCCATCCAGCAATGCGCCTACCGTGGGGGATGCACCCCAGCCACCGCCTACAGCTGCAACATTTACACTGGACAACCTCCTCATTGAGGCCGATGCGACCCTCAACCAATTACTTCAGGGCCACCGAGACATCCCGCGCAGACACCTTTACAATGAAATGGCGCGAGTGGAGCAACTCCTCAGCGATACCAAACACATGTTGGCTGCTTGGGGTAAAGATCCTGAAGTCCCAGGTGCACACGAAGGCATTGCGGGGATCAAAAATGCCCTGGATGCCATGGACTGGTGCCACCTAGCCGTGGAAGAGGGCAACATCGCACAGATCGAGGAGACCCTACAGATTGCAGTACAGGCCACTCAACGAAGTCGGAACTACATGGATATGCTCATCGCCTGGATACAGAGCCGTTTCGAAGACGACGCGGGGAGCCCCCCGAAACGCAAAAGGACGTCGGAAAGAGCCACCGGAAGCGGGGAAGCCCCCGTCTACATCCAACAACCTCAGCCTCCACCACCACCACCTCCACAAGAAGATCCCGCACCACGTAGACGAGGCCCTGAAGTGGAACTTCTACCCGAACGTGGAAACGAAGGAGGGGAAGATGGACAAGCTCGACCTCCTCTACAGCGACGATCCCAAACGCAGCCACAGATGGAAGGCAGAACGGAAGCGGAGGCCAGCCCCTATGCAATATTGAGGGCTCAACAACTACTGAAGCAGGCACTACCTTTCCTCGAGCAGGAGTTGGCGGTGATTGTTTCGCAGGCGTACGCCAACTTGTACACTTGGACCACGGCAATATGGGGGCATCCCATTCAGCTCGTGGATTCCCCCGAGAACGAGGAGATCCAGCAAGCCGAAACCCTCATGGAAATGGAAGGGGATGCTACCCCTGCAAGCCAAGCTGAAACGGTGATGGTGCCCGCGTACAACCGGGGGAGTGACCCCGCACTCGCCACAAGAGTGCCACGTGAAAGACAGCCTTCGCATCGCCGACGTCGACTACAAGCGGCTTTGGCGAACACCAGTGGCAGCGAGTCCGAATAGCGAGCCCCACTGAGCGGGAAATGAACTGGCGCTGTGCACATGCTTTAAACCCCAGGACCGTCCTAGTTGCCTACTATGTTGTGTGATGTTCCAGTGAGTTGGGTATTGCTGCCTCTGTGAATGGTCCAACAAGTTGCACCCTCAAGAGTGCCCAAGGGATAGTGTTCCCCTTCTTGCGCTAATGGCTCCTCGTTTCGTGTCTGGGTCTCGGTTCCCCAAAGGCACACTTGATGAGGTAGAGATGTAGGCTTTTGAAGGACGCCGGTCCCGAATGCCCGCCCTGGAATCTGTTCGTAGCGAGGTTTTTTGACTGGTTTGTATCCTTGCTTTTGTGTGATTTACCCAGGCGAAGGCATTTCAAAACACACCCGAGGGTAAGCACTAGGTTTCTGAGGGGCCGTAGTCGTTCTCGGCACTGCCTTTCCTCTTCGAGTCTGTTCGGTGTTGCTGCCCGAGTCTAAATGCCCCAACCCTCGACTAGCAACCCCTTTGAAGGACTGAAATGGCAGGGGGCTCCCCCCCCTTTTCATCTAGTCTGCTGTATGGCTGTAGCTCAATCCTGTGTTTTTGATTGCACAAACCTGCCATGCCGTCCGCCTCCAAACGAAACAAGGGGGAGAAAATAGCCTCCCTTTCAGCATGTCGCCGAGCACAGACGGGCACGAAAGTGGCCTTGGTGTGGCATGCGTTTCCCCACTCCCTCCGCACCAGTCGGGGGCGCCACTGGCGCGCGGGCAGGGGGGGCAACCCCTCTGCCTCTAGCCCTGCTGAAAGAAAGAGAGAGAGTCAAGTCTGGCGAAAGAAAGTGAGTCAAGTTTCGCTTCGCGACGATGGTACCCTTGAAGCTCCCCAATAGAGTCGCATGGACTACACGTCAACTCTTGTTGCGCACCGTCTATCTTCGCATCTTCAGCCCTCGAGCGAATCCAAGCCCTGCTGCTCGCATGATGTGAGCGGCTGAAGGATCGTAGCCGGAGCCAGAAGACCTTCTGATGTCCTCACGTGCACCTTTAGTTTGGCGTCTAGAGTCTAGACCAGCTTCTGATGCACAGGAGCCATATGGCCAAGCACAAGCTGTTCTCAGACCTCGACGCTTGGACTACCCGGAGCATTTTCTCATCATTGACCTCGGACGGTGCTCGGGTTTGGGCTGGGGGCAGAGGGTTGGGTTGTGCTTGGGCTTCCAGAGCCTGAGTGCAACTTGCGACTAATGTTGACATTGAGACGACGAGGTAGCACTAGTCAGAGCACTAGGGATAGCGGCAACAACGTGTAAGAGTGTAAGAGTCGGCATGCCGGAAGACGGAGTGGGAGAGAGATTTCTGACAGCAAGAGCGTGGGAGTTCAGATGGAGCGAGCGAGTGAGGGCGAACGACACCTGGCGGCCGAGCGACCACCGAGCAAAACCCATGCCCAAGAAGAAAGCAAGAAGGAGAGCAAGACGAAGCTGAAGCGTACTTATTGTTACTTATTGTTCCGGTTCTCGTTCCTGGCCTGACATCTGATGACCAAGGAACACTTCGATCTGGGCAAAGTTCAGTGCAGCAACGACTTTGATAAAGATTTCATCCACGCAGCAATTGCTCCTTGACCTGAACCATCTGAAGTCCTCGAGCCAAACTTCCCAAATACCTGACCCTCCCAAACAAGTGCAGAAGCTCATCTGAGTCATTTGAGGCCCTACAACCGAAGCTTGTGCAGTGTACGTTGTGCAATGCTATAGCCTTGCACTGTTGTCTGAAGTGAGCAGAACGAGACAAAGCAAGAGACTCAAGAACTCGAGGTGAGGTGGTACGGTGGAGAGGAGGCATTCACGGCCTTCGTTCGTGGCCCTCTCCGCGAGGATGCTTTGCTGGTTGTTCCAAAGCAGGGCTGCAGACAGAGTTCCTGGAATATTGACTAGAGCCGGCACAATCCCTGGGTTCTTTGCCAGGATCAGACTCCTTGCAGCCGCAAGCCTTAAAATGTACCGCAGAGTTCAAGAGAACTTCAGGTCCTCTCCCGCCAAGTGCATGTAGGGCATTGCCGGGGGGGGGGCCGCACAGTTTTTTCGCAAACTCCTCCGACAGCTCGTTCTATCACACAGCACAGAGTCACGGCAAGGCGGGCCAATGAACGTGCTCAACCACTAGTAAGAAAGCAGCTTCAAGAACCAGATGACATTGTAAGGATGTTCTCCAGCCAGAGAGTCCCTCGCCCAAATTTTTCATCACATGCTGTGTAAGTCTAGTGTGGTCTATCGCAGAAGGTCTGTTCGTGCATTATGGTGCCGGCTAATGTACGTCCCTTTTCAAGCCCCCCCCCCCCGAACAACTTGCATATCGACTCTCAGACGCCAAACCATGTGCTCGTGGCCTTGCCTCGATGTAGAAACCTTGGCCCTAGATTCCGTAAAAACTCCTGAGCTCCTGAACCTGTGACTGTAAGCCTCAAGCACCCCGCCTAGATTTGATTTATCGAAGGAGCTCTTGGGCGCTCGTCCCGCAACCCTGCTCGTGGCTTATCCGTTGTCCCTGGGCTGGTCGGATTTCGGGTTTTTTAGTTGCTGCCAGTACGTTGTTTTGGAGGAAGAGAGAGTTTAGGCATTCATGGGCTGAGTTTCAGTGGCTCTAGCGTTTCTTATGTAGGGTAGGTTCTGGAAGTGCTGCTTCCCAGCTGATTGGCAGAGTCTGGGTTCAAAACAAAGGGTAGGTTCTACCCATAGATTCATCGCAAGGCTTCCTGCCAGCAGGGCCCTGCAAGGGTTAGGGTTGAGGAAGCCGAGTTCCTGCTGCTTGAAGTTGAGGGTTCAGCAGTGGCTCTATCCTGACAAGTCAGCCACCTTGCAGACCTCCGGGTTGAACAACATTGAGGTGCAGGACCGGATCTTGAACTGAGTGGTACAGAGTTTAGAAAAGTGTTAGAGCAGAGTCGGTGCGCAAGTCGAGCAGCGGCCCGCACATTTACAAGGCTGCATCTTGAGGTTCAGCTTCGAGAGTTTGGTGCATTCTGACAAACGTAGGTCCCCAGGCTTCCGCAAATTCAATGCCCGATTTGGACACTGTAAAGTCCCAAGCACTACGCCGATGTCCTCGTTGCGTTGTTTCAATGCCAAGGCTACTTCTCTCGCCGGCAATCGCATCCAGCTTGAGACTTCCCTTGTGTTCGCTCAGCTGGTGTAGGGTTAGTCAAGATGTTCCGTGCATGGTTCAGGGGGTCCGGTACTGCATGGTTCCATCTAAACAAGAAAGGTGGAGCTCGTTCCGAGATGTAAATAAGGCTCCTTTTCGCCGAAGCTCTTCTGCAATCCTGGTATGTTAAGCCTGTGGTTTCCAAAGGGTGCTCCGAGATGCTGGTAAAGCTACGACTCTAGTTCCGTCAGCAGTGAAGTTCACGGTTGTAATCGGGCGGTTCGGTCGACACCGATACTTGTGCGGCGTTTAGCGGTATGTGTGTTGCCGGTATTGCGGAGTTTCGGTTCGGATCGATATCAATACGTGTAACAATAAAGAAGGCCAATCCCTCCCACCTTCCACAACCTCCCGATTCCCGCCTGCTGCCTCCCGGAAAAAGATGGGAAGGGAGGTAGCTGGAAGTGGTGTGGTGCGGGGGATGCTGCGCTGTTCTGCGGTACCTACCGGTTCGGTCGGTTCGGCACGCGCCCACACATTTCGAGGCAAAGGGTTCGTTTGGAGATACATTGCGTAGGCGATAAAATGAATCCAACCCTGACAATTATAGTCTAGCGATACCGGAGCAGCAAAAGCACCCAGGCAGCAATGAAGGCCCTGTGCCCCAATATCAATACGACTTCAATAAGCAATCCAACCACAGGACAATATGTGAAGCTAATATCAGCCACGTAGGAAAAGCTAGTTGCAACCCCGCATGACAGCATGACATATTAACACAAGCAGTCTCGACGACCACGACCACCAGACAGCCACAAGGGCCAAAACGACCACGAAATCCACGACCGGGAGATCACGAGGAGAGCACCGTGATGCCACCATCATAACCCCACCAAACCGAGGAGAGCACCCAGACCAGAACAGACCACCAGGAAACGAGCGGGAGACTGTCACAAAACCACCATCAAACCACTGGAGACCACCCGCGGACCGCCAGGAAACCAGCCGGAAGACCTCCAGGCACCCAGAGGCGGCAGGAGACCAGCAGCAAATCGAAGACCACCACGACATGTATTGGCGGGATTCAGAGACACTTCACCACGGCAGTAGTTGGCGGAACCTTCCGTATGTTCCTAGGGCGCTGCTTTCGCATGTGCTGGCGGGATGATTTGAGTGCGGGCCGTGGACGGGTAGAGCTCGCGAAGGACGGCTCCCAGAACGTGCAACATCGCTTAATCCAGGACTTTCGATTCGAAACCCATAAGCTTGCAAAAACAACTTCCAAAGTGTTTGAGTTTACGGAGTAATTAAATCACAAACCCGGCCCCAGAAGAAACAAACCCTCAAGGTTTCAATCCATTGCCACAAACTTTAATGATGCTGAAGAGTTGTTGTCACAGCGCATGTGCTACCTCGTCCCGCGGAGGCTTCGGAAGCCTCGTTTGGTTGCCCGACTGTTACATGCGCTATTCCCAGGACATTTCTGGCAGGCCTTTGGCGGGGTGGTGCACCGGTCCACTGTCTTCTCTCATATGTGAGCCTTTGCCAAACTGTATGGTTTTGGCAACTTGGGAAGAGACCTGTTATTGGGAGCGTGGACCATCTTTAATCAACAGTCCTACTTGCTCTTCCCTGGATGAAGGCCCTTTTACAAGTTGCATTGGTTTGTTATAAAGTTGGATGTAGATGTTCTCAGGACAGAGGCACGGTCTCCGAAAGTCACGTCACAGGGCCCGTGATGGAAAAGCACGTTAAATGTCTCTATGTGCGTGATTGCAAGGCATGTCTGCAAGTTCATGTGGTGTGGCATGCAACAGAGCGACACTCGACCATCTGACTCTTGTTCTATTCTAGTGCTTTAGTGCTTGTTGCTTTGTCTTCCTTGAGAAG